AAAAATAACAACAAGCAAACCAATCAATTCGTTATGCTCGCTTGAGAAAGCCAACATACTGTTATACTACTCAGTCCTCGAAAACAAACGCATCTCTTCCTAGGCGGTTCATGCTACAAGGCCCAAATTTGGTCAAAATGTGCCTTTTGCATTCAAGATTTATGCTATATCTCCTCATGCCAATCAGACTTATCGTTTTTGAAATAAATAAATGTTAAATATTACATTTTTAATAATCCGGGCATATAAAAAATTCAGAAATTTGCCCAAAAGCTGTGTTCTGCAGTAGTTTCTGTTGCTTTTTCTGAAATCTTTTCAGGTTTTTCCAATAAATAATTTTTAAGCATTATTTTTCTCAAAATATGGCAAGAGGGCGTGTCTGAAGTTGAGGTTGACGCGATTGTCAAAGCAGCATAAGCCAATGAAATTAGTCAGCAATAGGCTACTCTCTGAGCTGGTGTATTTGCATACAGCGATCTGATTGCCTGACGCTTCCGTCAGCGCTTGATAAATTGAGCAAGTCCCAACTTCTCGTCCCCTTTCTAGATTTCTGATCAGTTTATGTCATATTTATGAATGTAGTGAATCATCTGATTTTCATTGAGCAGGTGTAATGTTTATTAATTTTAATTATTCGAATTCTTATATTCACTAAGGTGCCGCTGTTTGGGGTAGAATAATTGTTACGTCATCATTAATCTGCAGGCTGCATTTTGCTCATGGGACTGCGAGAAAATAAATACAAATCGAGGAGCTGCGGCAAAATAATGAATAAAAAGAGTGAGACTACGGTCAAATAAATAAAAATTTTTTTAAAAAGTGCGACTGCTGAAAGTGCAAGCAGCTAGGGACACCGGCCAAAAAACGGACCGGCCCACCGGAAATTCTCCCGGTCCTCCCGATTAGCCAATCCGGGCCTGCGTGGACGCATAGCCCTCACTGTGGCTGTCGGCGTCGCTGATGCGCACTACTCCAAAAATTTAACTACATGTCGCAAGGACGCGTAGTGCAAGCTCTGTGATTGGTCGGTTTGGTAGCGCTGACGAGTGTGGGTGGGGTCGAGAGCAACGCAAGCCCGATGGAGCCGTTGTATACAAGTGTGAAGTCCCGTGAAGGAGCTCGGGATTGAAACTGTTGTTTTGTGTTTACCTCATGGTTAAAGTTGTTGCACGTCCGCCAGTTCCAGTCTCAAAATGAGCAAGTTTGAACTACTTGTACATTAAGGAAGCGTTCACAAAAAAACAAAACACCAGCGAATAAACTCAACACAGTGAAACATAAATACCTCACTGACAACTAGAGTTTCGGAAGTGTATTGCAGAGCAACAGAAACAGCGCGCAGAAGCATGAGTGCACAGCTACACCAATGACTGTAAAAAATATGGACGACGCGACAGCCCTTTTTCCCATTGAACGCCTTGAGGGCAAAACGCCTGCTTGACGGGCACAAACTGTCGCAAAAGACTGCTGAAATTGGAGCCTTGACATGCGCAGAAGGATTGTCTGATGGAGCCAGAGGAGGAGCCGCGAAAATGAGCAGAGTCGAGCTTCCAACCAAACGCTTTATGTAAAATCAACTACGCCCCCCGAACTTCTCAGCATGCGTTTGCTGTCATATCAACACAAATGGATGTAATAACGTTAACAAATATGAGGGTTTTATATATTCAATCGCGCCAGCTCCAGGCCGCAACACATAACTTACTCGCGGCGTCGCGGGCTGATTCCGGCTCGCATGCGGCAGCGCCTGCTCGCTCGGCCGCCGCATCTGGCTCGATTGACTCGGGCTGGAATTGGGTAGTGAGTCCAGGCATCCGGAGTAGGTCCAGCAGAGGTAACATTAGTCAGTCTGAGCTCTAAGAGATAAGTCTCCGGCAGGCGAGAATCTAGCCGGAACTGTGTTTTGCTATCTGGGTGGCTAGGCGTGTATCAGCAAACTAATAAAGCCCGAAAAAAGCCCTGAACTTAGCGAATAAACAGTGTTCCACCAGGATCATGTATGTCAGAAACTATAGTTTACTGCTGAACTCATTTTGTCATGGTAAAATAACACAGTAAGCGAATAATAACACTTCAGTCTCCTGCCGAAGCTCAGACGCGCTGCTTTGATAAATTGTCAATCACAGCTGTCAATCACGATGACACGCCCAGCATTAAATTACTGCTAAAAACAAACTGTTTACAAAAATGAAGATCTGCACCTATTTCAGCACAATAACCAGTGCCTTAATCCACCAGAACTATCTTTCGGGACATTTTATTGCAAGTGTAATATTTTTTTTATTTGGGCTCAAGTCTCCTTCATTAACACAGAGGAGGCGGGCTTTATGACTTGTACTGCAGCCAGCCCCCAGGGGGCGATCTAACGGCCGAAACCTTCACTCAAACGTAGGCTTGCGGCACACTTGAGCTACACGCGTTGCATGCACCGTGGGACACACCGATCCCTTGACGCAAAAGTATAAACCAGACTTAAGTAGTAACTCGTAACAGCAGCAGCTCCTGACCAGCAAAAAGCACTAAAAGGTGATAAAGTGCAGAAATCTGCCAAGTGCTTGCGATTATCTGCATGTGTCCAAACACTGAGATGTGAAGATCCGCCGGTCACATGCTTCTGCTGATGAAATCGGAGATCAGGCGTGTTAATTAACACTGGCAGTAACAGGATTTAAAGTGCCCTTCAGAAAACTAAAGCTCATTCTCAGGTTTGCTTGGGTGAGTGACTGTGTGTTTCTCCAGAATGGAGGCAGTCAGGAAACTCTGCAATCTGGCAGCCTTTAGGTTGTTGCCCTGAACCCTGGCAGAACATCTGCGAGCTGCCATCACTGATGCTAATTTGTAAGCAGTAATTATTGAGAATAAACATAGTAGTTTCTAAATACACACTAGAACTGCACTACCATCAACACACCTCCTATTGCATGTTATTAGCAGGGCGCCACAGTTTGGCCTGTTAGCTTTAGCTAATGTGAGCCCTTTTTCTATTAATGTTCCTTCAGCTTAATCCTTTATTTATCAGGGGTTACCACAGTGGAATGAACCACCAACTTATCCAGCATATGTTTAACGCAGCGGATGCCTTTCCAGCTGCAACCCACCACTGGGAGTCATCCATACACACTCATAAACTACCCCCTATTCACCTGTACCGCATGTCTTTGGACTGTGGGGGAAACCGGAGCACCCGGAGAAAACCCATGCCAACACGGGGAGAACATGCAAACTCCAAACACAAATATGTCAACTGACTGTTTTTTTTATTTTTGATTGATTGATTGTTAGTTTTTATAAACAATATTTTGAAAAAAATAATGAATTTTTCAAAAAACAAAACCATTTTGTTTCTTAAAGTAAACGTACAGTATACTGATTTAAGAATGATTCAATATTTGTATTGAAAGACAACATAAATCTGACAGAACATTGTTTTTACAGCGTATTCAGTGTATATTATTATTGTTATGAAATCATAAATGCACAGGCATATTTTCACAGAACTGAACTGGCTCATGATCATAACCCTGAGGAGACCTCCAGTATATTAGCTCAGAAACCTGAAACGGTCGCTGTCATGAATCAGACCTGAAGCCATCGGCAGAGCAGTCTTATCTTCACTCTGACTGAGATCCGCATGTGTTTTGAGGCTCGTGTGGTCTTCATGCCAAAGAAAAGCCTGAGCTCAACATGTTCTCTGCAAAGGGAAAAAGCTCATTTGCCAAACGCACGTCTCTCTCTAACACTGCGCAACATTAATCACAGGAGAGCTCAGTTCTGATGGTGCCGTTTGTTTCCACTCCATGACAACAGTACAGGCTCAGTGTTCATACAGTGAGCAACATTCACTAAGAGATCCTCATAGCGCACATATCAGCACATGCAAAAGCAGAATACACTACATTTGTGTGTGTGTATATAATGTACTCATGACATTACGAGGACCAAATGTCCCCACAAGTATAGCATTACCAGTCATTCTTTTAACCTTGTGGGAACTTTTTTTTTTTGGCTCACAAAAAGAAAACCACATAAATCACACATCATGAAAGAGTAAAAGTGGACTTGCTCAACTGTTCAAGCGTCAGCTAATCAGAGTGTTGTATGCAGATACACCAGCTCAGACAGTGGCCTATTGCTGACTTATTTCCAACCCAGTCTCATTCTGAAAACGTAGTCCCGCAGACGTTTCTGGAGACCGCGAAATACGTCCCAGGAGTTTTTTTTGCAGTTTTTTTTTTTGTGCACTTTTTCGCGTCTCGAACGTCTCTCACAAGCGTCATTTGCACCCACGCCATTCTCGCGTAAACCGCCAGAGACCGCTGTCGGAACGACCTTCCGCCTGAATGACAGAATGATTGACCGTGTGACCGGCCAATCGTCTGGCCCACCCTCCTCCTTCCCTAAACTCAACCAACGACGATTAACAAAAGCCGTCCTGAAAAAGAAAATCCTTTGTCTGATTTTTACCATGTTTTCAAATTTTGACCGCATTCTCACACCGTGATGAACTCATTCACTTGATTTTTTTGGATTTTGTTTTTGTTTTCTTGCGCCACTCTTCCCCGGACTCGAACCCGGTCGTCGTGGTCCGCCCCTCTCTGGGCCTTCAGTCCAACGACATACATGACAAGCTAACAGGACAAACTGGTTACGGCGGGAAAGCCCTCCATACGGAGGCGAGCGGCTGGCCAGCAAGCGCCGAAAGGAACGGCGTCACACCGCAGAGTTTGTTTTAAAAAAAAATGGATCGCAGCCATACGTACCTCCGGCCACGTATTTCGTGGTCTCCAGAAACCTCCGCGGTATTACGTTTTCAGAATGAGCCTGGGTTGGTTATGTCATTGGCTGACCCTGCTATGGCAATCGCGTCAGCCTCAATTTCAGGCACGCCCTCTGTCAAGCGTTGACGCTGAAGCCCCTTGTGAATGGGGTGTAAGTCAGTAAGTACAAGTCTATGTGTGTGTAAACACGTTTGCACTGCAGTCAAATTAAGCTGTACTTACGATCAGAGCTAAAGTCGTCCACAAGAATAATCTCCAGTATCAGATGAGGTGGGCTTCTCATTAGTACACTGAAAAAAAAGAGGATAAAAAGAGATGAATGCTTTCCTATGGCGTCCAAACTGATCCTCACAGTACTAACAACACCGAGATTAAGACTTTAATTTACACGGAAAGCAAGAGCTGAAAAAAAAACTGCTAACTACAGCTTTAAGTGTGAACTGAATGTTTAATCATTCAATCACTTTCAAAGTGATCAAGCAGCGTTTGCTGGCATATAAAATATATATGAGCTTGATTTTGAGGAGCAGTATGAAATATACATAACCCCAAACCAAATGTAGTGCACAGTTCTTCAAAACACATTAATAGTTTGAAGTGTACATCACAAAATGGACCACTTGTGGAAGCATTAATGGAACAAGTAACAGTTATATTAAAGAGTGTTTAGTTTAAGTGTTGTTGAATTGTTAAAAATACAAATCAATGGTCAATTATTCTTCTCATGCTATGGTTTCTACACCTAAAGACACTGTTCAGATATTTTATTTCATCCCTCAAAAAAAAACAAAAAAAAACAACTCAAAGCCTTCTGTTGTGTTTTGGTGTGATTTTTGACTGCTGTAGCTGTGAAATAATTGAAATCATTCAGCGTAGCTAAACTAGAATGCAGTCAAAACCTGCTTGGAACTGGCCACTTTATTAGGTATACACATACTAGTACCGGGTTGGACCCCCTTTTGCCTTCAGAACTGCCTTAATCAAAGTGTGCCAAGAAAATATCCCCCAAACCATTACATCACCACTACCAGTCTGATCTGTTGATACAAGGTAGGATAGATCCATGCTTTCAAGTTTTTGGCGCCACATTCTGACCCGACCATCTGAATGTCGCAGCAGAAATCGATATTCATCAGACCAGGTAATGGCGAATTGTAGCCTCAGTTTCCTGTTCTTAGCTGACCGGATTGGCAGACGGTGTGGTCTTCTGCTGTTGTAGACTATCTGCCTCAAGGTTGGACGCGTTGTGTGTTCAAAGATGCTATTTTGCAGACCTCGTTTGTAGCGAGTGCTTATTTGATTTACTGTTGCCTTTCTATCAGCTGGAACCAGTCTGGCCATTCTCCTCTGACCTCAGGCATCAACAAGGCATTTGCACACACAGAACTGCCACTCACTGGATATTTCTTCTTTTTCAGACCATTCTCTGTAAACCTTAGAGATGGTTGTGCGTGAAAATCCCAGTTGATCAGCAGTTTCTGAAATATTCAGAGCAGCCCGTCTGGCACCAACAACCATGCCACGTTCAAAGTCTCTTAAATCACCTTTCTTCTCCATTCTGATGGTTAGTTTGAACTGCAGCAGATCTTCTTGACCATGTCTACATGCCTAAATGCATTGAGTTGCTGCCATGTGATTGGCTGATTAGAAATTTGCATTAACAAGCAGTTGGACAGGTGTACCTAATAAAGTGGCCGGTGAGTGTATAAATGCATCTACTGTAGCATGACATGCATCGGTGCTGATTTGACCTAATTAAGTAGGGTTGTAGTACAACTTTATATGTATATTTAACCTTTCTGAACTGCTAATTTCTCATTAACCGCTAATAAGGTTTGTTCATCATACATTTGAATATGTTTGTAGTAAATGGTGCAGCAGTGTATTTAAAACACTGACTTTTAATACAATCTAGAATAACACACCACAGCTAAAATGATAATCAGTTACTTTACGTTGAATACGTGTTTTCACCTCTTGATAGTGCGCAGCAGGGTGGAGCGAGCCTCATTGTGGAACGTGATGATGATGCTGGTGGGCGGCAGGTCAGGGTCAAAGGTCATGGAGGCACATCTGTGAACGCAGACACACAGACAGGAGTGTCAGGACTTTCACTGTCCACAGCAGGACATCATTAAACACACTGAAGACCAGCACGCAGACAATTCCACTAAGGAATGCATTTAAACCAACCTTGTCAAATGTGTTAAAGGGACAGACAGTTCATCCAAAAATGAAAATTCTGTCAAGGGCGAGTATGACTTCTTCCAAACCATTCATTCATTTTTCTTTGGCTTAGTCTCAAAAAACCTTAGTGAAGCTTGCCAAAGACTAAAACATGACATATTCAAAACTGACTCCAATTTTGAAGGCTGAAAATCACATGTACATCAGTATTTACAGCCTTTGCCATGAATCTCTACATTGAGCTCAGCTATATTCTGTTTCCACTGATCATTCTTGAGATGTTTCAGCAGCTTCATTGAGTTCACCTGTGGTCAATTCAGTTGATTGGACAGGATTTGAAAAGGCAAACACCTGTCTATATAAGAACCCAGGGTTGACAGTGCATGTCAAAGCACAAACCAAGCATGAAGACAAAGGAATTGTCTATAGACTCGAGGCACAAGCCTGGGGAAGGTTACAGAAACATTTCTGCTGTTCTGAAAGTTCCAATGAGCACAGCGGCCTCCATCGTCTATAAGTGGAAAATGTTTGGAACCACCAGGAGTCTTCCTAGAGCTGGCCGGCCATCTAAGCTGAGTGATCGGGGGAGACGGGCCTTAGTCAGGGAGGTGATCAATAACCCGATGGTCACTCTGTCTGAGCTCCAGCGTTCATCTGTGGAAAGAGGAGAACCTTACAGAAGGACAACCATCTGTGCAGCAATCCACCAATCAGGCCTGTATGGTAGAGTGGCCAGATGGAAGCTGCTCCCCGCCTAGAATTTGCCAAAAGGCATCTGAAGGACTCTCAGACCATCAGAAACTAAACTCTGATGAGACTAAAATTGAACTCTTTGGAGTGAACGCAAGGCATTATGTTTGGAGAAAACCAGGCAGCGCTCATCACCAGGCTAATAGCTTCACTACAGTGAAGCATGGTGGTGGCAGCATCATGCTGCGGGAATGTTTTTCAGCAGCAGGAACTGAAAGACTAGTCAGGATAGAGGGAAAGATGAATGCAGCAATGTACAGAGACATCCTGAATGAAAACCTGCTTCAGAGTGCTCGTGACCTCAGACTGGGGCGACGCTTCATCTTTTAGCAGGACAATGACCCAAAGCACACCGTCAAAATATCAATGGAGTGGCTTCACAACAACTCGGTGAATGTCTATGAGTGGCCCAGCCAGAGCCCAGACCTAAATCCTATTGAACATCTACAGATGTGTATATATATATGATATATATATATATATAACATAGATAACATGTTATCTATGTTAAAGGGACAGTTTACCCAAAAATAAACATTCACTCATTATTTACTCTCTCTCTCAAGTAGTTCCAAACCTTTATGAGCTATTTAACTTCTCTTAACTTTCCCTTTAAATACCATTTATACTCATAGTTATATGCGCATCAGAGTACAATTGCTCACTACAACTCTATTTATTTTCATAACTTTTGTTGTTTGAGCAACTTTTTTCATTTTTAAAAAATGAAGAAATAAAAAAAAAAAAATGAACAAATGGCCGTCTTACCGATAGTGGCGTGTGTCTCTAATGGCGCGCTCGCTGCCTAACCGGTCGCTCTCCTGCAGGTTGAAGGCATGCTCCCTATAGGGATCTTCACCTGGCCTGAGCTGCTTACTGGACAGAAACGCCTTTTCATCGAACAAGCCCAAGAGCTGACCCTGCTGCTCCAGCTGCGGCGCACGAGTTACCTGTAACACACACACACACACACACACAGTGCATTAGAGCAGAGGTTCTCAAAGTGGGGGTCGGGACCCCCCGAGGGGTCGCGGGACAATGAAGGGGGGTCGCCTGGGGATTTTCAAAAATCAATTAATTTTTATTAAACCTTAAGACTTACTGTATTTTATCAATCACCTACTAAAGAGGAAAAAATAGTCGTTTATATTTACAATAAACTATTAACTATAATAGTATATAGTTAATAGTTCTATTGGATTGCGACTTCTCTAGTAATTACATTATACTAAAGGCACAGCAATACTTTCAGATGCAGCAAATTGATTTTATAACACCAGGTTAAACTTTCTAGCCCATTTACAGCACTGACATACATAAAAAAAAACAACCAAAGAATAGACTTGGGTCTATTAGTGTGTGCGCGTCATCATTGCATACAAGGTTTCTGTATTTATAACCACCACCTCAGAGAAAATTGGGGGTCACGAGTCACTGGCATTGTCATTTTGGGGGTTGCGGGCTGAAAAGTTTGGGAACCCCTGCATTAGAGGTGATGCTGAACAGAGATGATTCACTTGAAGAGGCTCAGCTCTGCTCTCTGAGATTACAGAAAGTACACTGTAACCAATTTGCGAATAATAAGGAGGTTTGGGAGAGGGAACTAATGCTTGATCCCCCCTGAATGCCATCAAAACAACATGAATTAGTGGGTCAGGCCTCTAAATAGTGAGAAATCATTTGCTGTGATCTGTATCTTTAATAATGATATATATAATTACAATTATAGATCATATAAATATACACATGGGCAAGGCAGTGGCGCAGTAGGTAGTGCTGTCGCCTCACAGCAAGAAGGTTGCTGGGTTGCTGGTTCAAATCTCGGCTCAGTTGGCGTTTCTGTGTGGAGTTTGAATGTTCTCCCTGCCTTTGCGTGGGTTTCCTCCGGGTGCTCCGGTTTCCCCCACAGTCCAAAGACATGCGGTACAGGTGAATTGGGTAGGCTAAATTGTCCGTAGTGTATGTGTGTGTGTGAATGTGTGTGTGGATGTTTCCCAGAGATGGGTAGAAGCTGCGTAAAAACTTGCTGGATAAGTTGGCGGTTCATTCCGCTGTGGCGACCCTGGATTAATAAAGGGACTAAGCCGACAAGAAAATGAATAAATATACACCTGACCACCCCTATAACGGTTCATACCATTTTGAATGCATAACCGAGCCAGTCAGTCTTTCATTCATTCATTCATTCATTTTCTTTTTGGCTTAGTCCCTTTATTAATCCGGGGTCGCCACAGCAGAATGAACCGCCAACTTATCCAGCACGTTTTACGTTTTAATTTAATTGCCAAAAAAGTCATGTGAACTTAAGGAGCCCAGTGGCAAGACGGAGAGTTAACAGACCTGTGTAAAAACCTGTGGTGGTTCTTATAATAGCAGTGAATGGTTATACATCATTTAAAGTGACAGGACTACAATCGGACTACATTAACACATGCGCTGAGAACTATTTGGCAAGGATGTGGATTAAAGCTAATAATGTTGTAAATAGCGTTAAATTTCTTACACAGAGAGATTACTTTGCATCACAAGACCTCAGTGTAGCATCAGAAGCCACAGGTATTGATTTAAACAAAATTTTATGTGTTTACTTTCACCATTCAGTGGTTAGCACGATCACCTTACAGCAAGGTCGCTGGTTCGAATCCCGAATGCCGTTGGCATTTGCGTGTGGAGTTTGCATGTTCTCCTCATGTTTGTGTGGGTTTCCTCCAGGTGCTCCGTCTAAAGACATATAGGTGAATTGGACAAACTAAATTGGCCGTTGTGTATGTGTGTGAATGAGTGTGTGTGGATGTTTCCCAGTACTGGGTTGCAGCTGGAAGGGCATCCGCTGTGTAAAACATATGCTGGATAAGTTGGCGGTTCATTCCGCTGTGGCAGCCTCTGATGTATAAAGCGACCAAGCCGAAGGAAAATAAATGAATTAGTTTTATTTTCTCAAAAGAGTATTATTAAAGATGTTTCTGCAGTTTTAGAATCCTCCACAAGCACATGTCGAACTGTGATTATTTTAGCAAGAACTGTAACACCCCTAGAAGACAAAGTGTCAACGTGTTGATGTGCTGTTGAGGAACTCTCAGCTCAGAGCCACTTCACCTTCACCTTCAGAAAGTGAAAAATCGAGGTGTAAATCCCTCTGTCTGCACTCCATAATCACCTTACGAGAGCAGCAGACGCTTATGGATGCGCATGGCTGTCCACAGACCTGCTTCATCCAGAACTCTATTCATAACCATGCTGTGCTTTACTGCAGAAGTGCGCTCACTGACACACACACTGCTCGTGTACAGTGTTTCAATTTTTGGTAGATCTGAAAAATTGTGTGCAGAAAACAGTGTTGGGCAAGCTAGTTGACAAATGTAGTGAGCTACGCTATTAGCTACTCTACTTAAATTGTAGCTTAACTACACTAAGGGCCTACTCACATTATGCCATCCGTACCATGCCCAGGCCCGTTTCCCGGATCGTTTGAGAAGTGTGAGTGCACTGAATCGGGCTCAAGCACGGTTCACTTGGCCGGCCCTGGCCCGGTTGGAAGAGGTGTGCCTGAGCCCGGTTCACTTGGGCTTTGGCGCGGTACGCTTGTGTGTGAGTGAAAACGCGCCAAAGCCTGAAACTGAAAGCGAGACGTGACTTTTAAGGGGCTGTTTCATATGGATTTATTAATTATTCTTACTGTTCAGTGATCGCAAATCACTGAACGCAAAGTGATCTGCCGTAGTTTATTAAAGACGCAAACTCCTCACTGCACGTCAGCTGCGCGCCTTCAGCAGACCTCCTCATTCCTGCAGCACGAGGGCTTTATGATTGTTTATGAGCGCCAAAAGTGGCGGATCTGTTCGGCGAAATATCTGACTGCGTGTCACCGCATCTCTAAGGACTGTTTGGCGAAATATTTGACTGCGTATCACTGCGTAACAAACGACTGAAAGGATATAACTAGAGAAATCTCCACTGTGCTACTGGGTGAGAGCGTATGGCAACCCGTTTTAGCATTTAAACCTTGTTCTGACTATCCATAAATATATTTAGAGATATCTCTAATTATATTTTGACTAGTCATAATTATAATTCGACTAGTCAGATTGGAGATATCTGCAAATATATTATGACTGACTAGTCATATTCCTCCATTGACTTCCATTGAAAAATATTTGCAGATATCTCTAAATAAGTTTTGACTAGTCACAATTGTAATTAGAGATATCTCAAAATGAATTTTGACTAGTCAAAAATCCAATTCAAGATATCTACAACTGTAATTCGACTATTAGTAAATTAATTAGAGATATCTTTAAATATATTTGTAAATATCTCTAAATATGACAAATTAAAGATATCTCCAAATGTATTATGACTAGTAAAACTCAGTTAGAGAGATCTCTAATTACAATTGTGACTAGTCAAAATTCATTTAGAGATATCTGCAAATATTTTTCAATGGAATTCAATGGAGGAATATGACTAGTCATAATATATTTGCAGATATCTCCAATCTGATTTCGTACAATTGTAATTGCAGATATCTCTAATTGTCATTCTGAGTAGTGGAATTATAATTATGACTAGTCAAAATATAATTAGAGATATCTCTAAATATATTTATGGAGTCAGAACAAAGATTTAAATGCTAAAAAGGCTTGCCATAGAGAGCGATTCTCACTGAACAGAGCAGCAGCGATGACGTAAGCGTGCCGAGGCCCGATATGGTGTGAGCGCGGGCCGTCGGGGGAGACGGGAGGGGGGACAAGTGTGCTTTGGCCCGGTTCGAGGCAACTGTACCTAGTGTGAGTACGGCCTAAAGCTACCCTCTGGGAAATGTAGCAAGCTAAGCTAAAAGCTACATGGCAAAAGTAGCTTAGCTACATCCAAGCTATTTTTGCAATTTTCTTTTTTAAATCGAAGCAACTTAAATCCAAGTCAGTCATATCTTAGTGATCAATAAAACTGTCAATGAAATAGATGAGGCAGAATAGTTCAGATATTTACTGTAAATAGTATGCTGTAGCCTACTAAACAGAAACACATTATAGTATATAACAGCTAAAACAAAAAAATACAATAAAACCAGGTGTTACAGATTTAAAATACTATAGTCATTTATAGTAAAAAGAAATATTTTTGACAAAAAAAAAATAAAATAAAAAAAAATAAATAAATATATATATATATATATATATATATATATATATATATATATATATATATAGTAACAAGCATTATAGTGTTATATATACTAAAGTATTTTTATTTTTTGAGCACAGCATCAGAAATAAAGTTATTGCATCTTAACATGTACTTCTCGAGCGATGGTCACAAGGAATCCTGCTTCAGAAATAACTCCTCTCCCTCAGTCATCTTTCCATCAAGCAAGTTTCACCAAAGGTGGCAGTAACGCACCAAAAAGTTTGTTGTCGAACACCGTAAAACAGGAAGAAGAAGAAATCATCCTTCTCCCTGGCTGCATCCGAAACCACATACTTCCATACTATATAGTATGCTAAAATCAGTATGCGAGCCAAGTAGTATGTCCGAATTCATAGAATTCGAAAATCAGTAGGCGAGAAGTACCCGGATGACTTACTACTTCCGGCGAGATTCTGGAGTGCTCATTCCACGCACGCTGCGCTATCCCATGATGCCCCGCGAGCGAATTCATGAATGGGAGTGAAGCAACGCAATTGATGCAAGTAGGTCACGTGACCATGACAAAATGGCAGATGTAGTGCGTCCCAATTCCATTCATACTTTTCACATTCATACTGTACAGAACGTACTTTTCTAACAGCCGAGTAGTACGTTTAAATTCAAATGCACTACCTACTGAGTAGTAGGCGGTTTCGGAACCAGCCCCTATCATATGGATCTACTTCCATCGGCTAGGCACCGGCCTCATAGCTCAGTGAATGTTGGTGCGGTCACTTATTGATCCGCGATCAGTAAATGTAGC